GGGCAATATTAGCAGAGAGTTTTCCTGAATTCACTGTTTGGTTTCATTGTTCAGTTTATCATTTGTTCTGTACTGTTATTGTTGCATTGAATATAATATGAAATATCCATAAATAAATAAAATCGGTATTAGAAAAGGGGTCCCTTAAGGAAAGAGGCTGGGAACCACTGTTCTAATCCACTCGTTCTCACACTGGATGGTGAACTCTCTCTAGTGGTGCAGAGAGAAATCACAGAAATATATTTTTTAAATGAATATGATACTATCAACTTTGAATGGAAATATTTAAACTATGAGATCGCTGAAATGTAATTTGGTGGTACCCCATTGTACAGAACTCAACAATAAATAATGTTCTTATTAGGAATAAACCTGCCTCAGGTATGAGCTGTCCGTAGCTGAATAGGGTCGGGCCGGTCGTAATGGTGGTACTTCTGAGGTTGTACGTGGTGTAAAATGTTTGAGAAATGCAATACCAACACACCCTCTCTTGTCTTTTTTTAAAATCATTGCTACTTTTAGTCTGAACACGCTGTAAAATGAAGTTTAAACATAACTCATCACACTGAGTAAGGTGACTAAGGGGGCAAACTCTCAAAAGGTTCCGTAATCCTTTAATGACCGGACGCAGTCAAATTGCTTCACTGTTGGTGATTAAGTTCACACATTTTTATAAAGTAAGTGTTAAGTGCTTCCTTAGAGATTTTGCTTTCAGTTTTCAGACTTAAATCCATGTTCATTCTCCCTGCAGGGACTCCTCCACAGTGCTGTTTGATGTTTACAGATACAAATGTTACATTTTACCAGGCACATTTATGCTGTGCACACCAGGTGACTAACTACTCTACATGCACAGGTAAGAAGTAGCGACTCAGACAGCAGAAGTGAGGGACTCACCATGGGGGTCTTGTACTTGTGGATCACCACTTCTTTAGTTTCAGGAACTATGCCGATGCAAGAGACAAAACAAAGAATTCAAAGGCAGCAGGAACCGCAATGAGTTAACGTTTGAGAGCTTTGGGGGTTACAGAGGTGGACTTTCAACAAGGTGTAAAATGGGATGTGGGCCAAGAAGAGTCCACCTTCACAGTCAGGAGTAAATTGAAGTTTAGACAGAGAGGGTGAAAAGGCCAAGTTGTTAAATCCTGCTTCTGCTGGAATACACTAATACTCTGACTGTGAGAATGGCTAATGTAACGATTAAACCGTCTATATAAAGGGAAAGTATTCAATCTGAGCTGGTAACTGTTGGTGAGACGTTCATGGCCCACAAAATGGACAAATAAAAACACAAATGTCTTATAAAAAGAGACTGGAAAGGTCTCAAATATGAAAAACAAAAAACAAGAACAAAAAGGAACAACCTCCCCTCCCCAACCCCTTCCACCCCGGTGAACTGAAAGTTAAGAGACATCACAGAAAAGCAGCTACAAGAGGCCAAAATCCTTTGACCTAGGACCATGTCACTGTCCACAGGACAGATTGACTTTTCATTAGTAACTGTGAACCCATAGCAGAGATGAGAAGGCTGAGATCTGGACAGATGAAAGGGCTTGGAAAAGTTAAATCCCTCTGCTCAACATCCCCCAAAACAACAGTCTGACCAAAGATCTCCACTTGCTGAGATACAGAGGCAGACTATCAGAGAATGATAGACCAGATGTTGAGATGGAGTCTGGGGTGATCTCCGAAATGAAAAGCAAGTGATGAAGGAAGCAGAGGAAAACTCATGGTACAAGAAAAGAAAAAGGAATCCATGGAAAGGGTCGAGTGTGGACATATTTTGAATTAGTTTGAATAAGAAAGGAGAAAGGTGACAACACTTTACCTGCTGGAGAATGAAGGTTTTCATAGTGGCAAAGATGAGGGCAACATTACAAAAGCAGCACAGAGACACGACAGTAACCCAGCCTGGCACTCAACTTCCCCCTCTGACGACCATATACTGCACCGTCATACTGGAAGTCAGCGTTTTTTTACCTCCTCCTAAAATGTAAACCACGCGCTAACCCTTCATTAGGTTGTGTTATACACCTGATGAAGCTGTATGCTGTAAGTTGTTTTTCCTCATGGAATAAAATTAAAATCCGGGACCTAAAAACTATTGGTTTTTCAAATGAGTGTTTTTTAACATAGCTTTTATATATTTTATATCTTGTTTTTTTTTCACTTAATGTAGATAAATTAGGTTTTAATTTTTCTGATTCCATCAGACCAATAAAGGCATTATTTATTGGTTTTATTGGTTATTATTAGCTTAACTTCAATTAGTGATTATTGTGATTATTTTCCAGGAAACTTCATATGAAATGGTTTGAGAGTTGGGTGAAATATTTTTAGCCGTTACCTTCATTTATTCATGTGTACTTGTACTACTAATTTCAAGCTGAATACGTTACCCATGCAGGAAAACATTACAAAACGAATTAGTATTCAGTGCTCTTAAAGTTTAAGGACAATGGTATTCTATATTTTTAGTACTGTCAATGAATCACAGGAAAATGCTAAAACCAACTGAACTTGTGAATCTTTAAGAACACAAACATATAGCTTTATATTCCCTGAAAAATCTGGGAACTGTAGTCTTTAACAAATATTACTCACACTGGAGTAAATAGCACATTTGTATGGGACTATTTTAAACCGAGGATTAATCCACGTTTGGTGCTCTGGTGAGTGTTCACAGCAGCAGGATGGTGCGTGTGGGACTGACTGAAAATAAACTACTGTGTGTTCATTGTAATGAAGGAACATC